AACAAATGGATAAATGGATGAGAGAACTGGAGGTGGAATTAGTTTAGATTAAAAACATTTCCACATCTGAACCAGATCCCAGTTTTAATGATTCCCTCCTCCTCACCTACAGCTAGCGAGGAAGAGAGACTGAACCGTAGAATTCAATTTACAGAATTCAAAGGCGAACCTAGGTGTATAGCGCGCCTGGAAACAAAATCAGCCATGAATGGTTTCAGCTCGAGTCGCCACTGCAACACCACGCACAAAGACAAACACGACAAGTACACCGGTGCTGCCAGAGCTGCCGTCGGAGGACCCTCAAAGGAAGGAGTCACCGACAACAGAGCCTATTTCCCAGAGCAACAGCTACAGGAGTCTGCTCTCACGGCATCTTGTGCCGATTCACTTGCAAGGAAGCTTTCAGGTGGAGAAATGGTGAAGCGATGTGCAGTGGAGATGGCTCAAACTTTAAGAGACGATAGAAGCCTTAATCGTGTTTGTCTAGCATTCGTTTTTATTTACATCTATTTTGAAACCACAGTTAAAAAGATTATTTAAATTGCGGCACGGACTAGCTGTGGCGACAAACTGCATTTTATAATCGCTGCTGTCTGAGCTCTTTTAAGATCATCCCATCGTCCTTTGACGTCTTGTCTCATGTCGCCACTTGTTTCTCTACATTGGCTCCCTGTGAAATTCAGAATAGAATTCAAGATCCTGCTCCTCACATTTAAAGCCATTAACAATCAAGGCCCCTTCATATATCAAAGACCTGACACCATCTCTGCATTTAAGGTTAAACTTAAAAAGTTCCTTTGTGATATAGTTAGTTCTGGATCAGGTGAGTCCTGAACCATCCCTTAGTTATGCTGCTATAGATCTAGAGTTTTTCCTCCACAGTCTCCAAAGTGCTGCTCATTGTGGGAACTGTTGGGTTTCTCTACATTAATGAGATTTTAAGGTCTTGACCTTCTATGCAAAGTGCCTTGAGATAATGTGTTTTATGATTTTGGCGCTATACAAATAAAATTGAATTGAAATTGAACACATTCTGCCCTTTCCTGACATTGCAGGCTACACGATAGAGCATTCATAGGCTGTCATGTGTGTGTATCTGTGGTTGTGAGAATCAAATTAGGTTCAATAGAATCATTGTGAGGACACTGTGGCATGGTGAGCCCAGGTTTGAATACAGTTGAGGCAGGGATTTGGAGAAATACAATAGGTTTTACTCACTTTACTTTAAGTTGAGGTATAGGTGAGGGGCTTGTCTTTTGTTAAGAATGTGCAGTGCTGAATTTGGAACAATTCACTTTTATTAAAATAGAATTTAAAAAAACCGATATCCTCAGATAAACAACAACACTGGTCAGTAACCGGGTCAAAACAAATCACAGCCATTTTACCACATCTGACTGGCGATCCCAGACGTTTGCTGTAATTATTTATTCATAACTATTTTCGAAAAGACGTGAACATGGGTCTGAAGATCGTCTCTATTGCTTAACAGACCTCTGAAGTAGCTGACATGAAATGAATAGAATAATTTAATCTCATGCTGTATATAGGCCATACACAGTAACCAGCCATCAAGCAAGATGTATAAACATTGACTATAAATTATTTTATGATATCACCATAGCTTTTCATAGTTTCTGAAAAGCTCTACACACGACGTCCAGCTCACAAACTCAACTGGGGGAGGACTCAACTATGAAGAAATAATTCAGAAGTAGCAGGTTTGTGCGAGTTACTGTGAACAAGTGACCTAAAAACTGCAAAAAGACAAATGTGTGTGTGAAAGTGAGACAAAGGAGAGGTTTTTTTTTTTTTGCCAACAGGATATTCTCATGGGGACTTCTTCGTTGTAGTTGCCTTTTCAAGTTTACTAGTGATGTGGTGCTGCTTTTGCTGCAGCATGAATCATTGATGGGTAGAGCATTTATTCGCCCACCCACCCGATATCTGCACCAGCCATCTATTGTGGTTTTTGATGATGCGGTTACTTGTCTGCTGATTCGTCCGCGTTCGAGATGAGTCACCACGAGTCTCGTGAAACGCGTCCGTTCAGCCGCCCGAGCGGGGACGAGTTGACGTGTTGTTTGGCACATACGAGGGAGGACTTGTGTCGCGTCAGGCCCAGGAGATTTAATTGCCTCCTCCTGATTGTACGTTACAATGCGCTCGGTCCGAGAGCCCCAGCTGCCAGACAACCGAAAAGACACACAGGAGCCCAATTAACTGTCTGTTGCTGTTGAAGGTTTTGTACAAGGTAAGACCCGCAATCTGTTTGAAATAAAACACACACGCTTCACATCCATAACTGCCTCTAAAACACGGGAAAGGTCATCTCTATGTGGAATTAATCAAACATTTCTCCTGTGTAATGCAGGAAAAAAAAAAAAATTGCTACCAGATAAGGATCGTCCTACTCCGACCAAGCAAGATATATATAGTGTATTCAACCCAAAAACTTGTAATGAAACTCCTCCCACAGGATGTCTGATAGCCCTGTCATATACCAACCCAAATAATAAACCAGTGCACTTTTATTATTAGCCCTACTTTGTTGTTTTCTCGCCGAAAGCAGTGTCCCTGGAGTGCAATTCTTCCTCTGCTACCACTTCAGTCAGCATTTATTTCCCATGGACCCTCTGCCATCGGAATTCTCCGCGCGTCGCTCTGGCCCTGCTTTCCTGGCACGTCAGCACAAATTTCCCGCTACTTCGGTGTTGCTTATGATTATGTATAGCCTAAAGTGGATTTGGGAGGGGGTTATGTGCTGCGGAGAACTGAAAAAAAAAAGAAAAAAGAACAGCGATGAACTCCATCAGAGAGGGTAACAGTGTTTGTGCGCTGCTGAAGTGATGGAGGGAGGATAAAGCTTTTTTGCTTGGGGAAGAGCGAAGAGAGGTGGTTTTGATTTTTAACTCTGAAATGTTTTACTGTTTGGAATGACTCACATGTTTCCTTCATGTTGAGGATGACAGACCCCCAAATAGGGCTGAGAATCTGCGGTGTGACGAATGACAAAACTGGACCGCACTGAAACGTATGGAATACTTTATCGTGACAGCAAATCTCTCCTGGATTCAGGCGCTGTCGTGTCTCGCGATTTTGTGGCGTCAGTCTTTTCTGTTTCTCTCCTACAGTGGAAATGCAGAATCCGATATTTTCCTCAAGAAACTCAAACTTTGGGAATTAAAGGTCCCGTGTGTAAGATTTAGGTGAATCCTCATGATGTTTTCACTAGTTTGTTTTCTTTACCCCAGAAAAGTCCTTTATATTTAAATACTTTATATTTACATCGAGGGGACCCTCTCTACGGAGGCAGCCATGTTTTTTACATCAGTCCAAACTGGACAAACTAAACACCTTTTGAGTTTTTATGACAACTGAAGCTACCACAGGTTCTTTTTCATGTTTGGAAGGAGAGGGTGAGGTCAGGGGTGTTCAGCTGCAACATGCCACTTCAACACTAGATATCACAAAATTCTACACACTGTACCTTTAACACCTTTTATAGATAAAAGATAAAAAACAAATATGAAACAATGAATCTGAATGTAATTTGTATGTGTATCCGCTACTTCTACCTCTAAACAAAAAAGAAAAACGATGTAAGGTTATT